TATTTATTTCTAGGAGAGAGAGAGAGAGAGAGACAGCGTGAGCAGGGGAGGGTCAGAGAGAGAGGGAGCCACAGACTGAAACAGGCTCCAGGCTCTGAGCTAGCTGTCAGCACAGAGCCCGACCCGGGGCTCAAACCCATGAACCGTGAGATCATGACCTGAGCTGAAGTCGGACGCTTAACTGACTGAGCCACCCATGTGCCCCTGTGTCCTTCTTTCTAAAGCAGGTGGGCCCTGCGTGCACCTCTAATCATTTGTGGTTGTCTGCAGCTGGCCGAAGTCCCAGTTTTCTAGATTAGCTCTTCTTTGCCTTCAGCCCCCATTGAGAGGACTGGGGATCTGCCCGTTGCTGCCTCCCCTTTTGTGGTGGGAGCGGCCCCACGTGGCTCAGCCACCTCTCCTGCCGCAGCCTCCAGTCCCCTCCCCTGCCCTTGGCGTGTCTTTGTGTGTCACTGGCAAGCGCGTGCAGCAGGGATCCCTGGACCCTGCCCTGTGGGTCAGCATTTGCGGTGGTGGTGGCGGGGGGGATTGGCCAGCGGGCGCCCCAGCCAGTGGGTGGGTCTCCAGGCTCTGAGCAGTGACGCGGCTGGGGTCTCTGGTCGTGTCAGGCCCCCCCACCTCGGGATCAGCTGGGAAGACCCTGGGCTCTGCATCCCCTCTGGGTGCTCCAGGGGACTCTGGCGTGGACGGGTGTGGGGATAGCAGGGCTGGGTCTGGCTCCCCGAGGGCGGGCAGCAGCGTGGTCTCATGGCGCCCTCTCTCCCCACAGGCTGGAACAGCCCTACTTCAGCGCCAACGCCCAGTTCTTCCAGGCCCTGAGCCAGTGCTCCGCACTGCAGCGCCTGTGCCTGGTGTCCCGCAGCGGCACCCTCCAGCCTGAGGCTGTGCTGGCCTTCATGGCGCGCTGCCTGCACGTCGTCGTGTGCCACATGTTCACGGGGGAGTCCCTGGCCACCTGCAAGAGCCTGCAGCAATCCCTGCTCCGAAGGTGAGTGGGGGCGGGTGGGGAGGTGCCGGCGACAGGGTGACACGGCTCCTCCCGGGGGCTTCATGCAGACACAGTCGCTGTTGCTTCCTGGACCGAAAAGATGCCCGTTGGGGAGATGGTGTGAGGACAGAGGCCAGCTTCTTTTCACAGCGGCGCCTCACCCGAGGGTGCTCCTACCACCTCGCGGTCAAGTTCTTCGTAGCCAAACTGCAGAAGTGTTCTCCCCGTCTGCCAGCTTCCTGTGACGTAAGCGCACACATCCCTGCGGTGCGGGGGTCCGAACGAGGAGTGACAGTGCGCTGCTGCTGGCCGGCCTGACCTTAGGTTCCTCAGCGCCCGCCCTGGGCCTCCCCTGCTCCAGGGAACCCTCATCACACCAGCGGTCGTGTCAGCATAGCCTTCGGTCTCTGACAGTCCTCCGTCTCTCCTGGGCTTTCACGACCTTGACGCTTTGTGTAGTGCACGGGCCAGGTGTTGGGCAGAATGTATGTCATAACTCACAGTGACACCGTGTCCCCGGTGTGTGCCGTGGACACACGGCGCTGTCACATCTTCTCATTGGCGTCTGCGGGCCTCTGGGCTGTAAAGTCATCTTATTCCCTCTCTCATGAAGAAGCACCTTGTGGGGAGATGCGAGGGTCTGCAGACACCCCGGTTCCGGCTGGCGTCCTGCCGCCAGCCCTGGCATCCACCGATGGGTCTTTCTGGTGACGGTTGCCTTATTTGATGTTTGGCCACTGATGGTTGTCCCTTCCCTTCATGTGTCCTGTGTTTGTGAACGGGCACTGTGCTGCGGGCGGGAGCTGCCCCTCTGTTCATTCACGCACTTGCTCGGTGTTTACTTGTGTCCGCACGGGCTTGTGGGTGCCGATGCCATTCTGTGGGCTTTTGTCACGTTCCCGCTATAATGCGGTTGCATAGAGTGTTCCAGATTTGGCCGTGGGCGTGATCTTTCAGATTGGGTCCTGTGCCCCCTTGCAATATGCCCCTTCCCTTTCTGAGCACTTCCTTACTCTGCATCACATGGGATACTGCAGGCCCAGCGCTGGGATCCATTACTTCCTCATGCAGCCTGGCTCCTTTTATTAGGGGCTGGAATTAGAAGCCAAGGTCTGGTGTGGAGTGTGCTCACTGCTGCTGGGATGTCACCGCCTCCAGGCCCCCTCATGGATGTAGTAGGAAATTGATGTGTGCGTGTTCTATTTTGTTCTGTTTTGTTTTTGTTTTTTTAATTTTATTTATTTTTGAGACAGAGAGAACATGTGTGAGCCAGGAAGGGGCAGAGAAAGATGGAGACACAGAACTCAAGGCAGGCTCCAGGCTCTGCGCTGTTGGCACAGAGCCTGTTGTGGGGCTCTAACTCACAAACTATGAAATCATGACCTGAGCTGAAGTCGGTCGCCTAACCGACTGAGCCACCCAGGCATCTCTCTGTGTTCTTTTTTTTTTCATGCTTACTTATTTATTTTGGGAGAGTGTGTGTGCCCGTGTGCATGTTGGGGAGGGGCAGAGAGAGAATGAAAGAGAGAGAGAATCCCAAGCAGGCTGTGTCCTCTCAGTGCAGAGCCTGACTCAGAGCTCGGTCTTATGAACTGCAAGATGGTCTAAGCTGAAACCAAGAGTCAGACACTCCACTGGCTGAGCCCCCAGACACCCTGATGTGCAGATGTCCTCACGGCCATGTTTGTGTTTCCACGTCACCCACTTACATCCACAGTAAAGGCAGGTTCGTGCAGCCCAGGGTTCCTGCAGACTCCTCTTCCTTCCTCACGACCTCTGTCTGCGTGGGTAAATGGCCTGAGTGTCGCTACCCACGGTGTGTTTGCTGGTTCGTCTGCCCTCAGTGCACAGGAGTCGCCAGCCCACTGGCTGGAGGATGATATGTGTTCAGGCTCTTGGCCTCTCCCCGCGGCACCCTGCTTTCCAGAGTTACTCCAGATTGTTCTTTGCGTCCCATCCCTTCAGTGTCTTCAGGTCACTTGTTTGTCACGCAGCCAGGGTCCTTTATTACCGTGTCATTTTGCATTCGCACGGCGTCCTGGTAGGTTTTATTTGTTCGGTGTTTGTGGGTGTAAAGCTTCACTGTGGCGCTTGGAGTTGGGGGTCTGTTTAGCGGCTGCCTTGGAGAGGCCCCCCCCCGCCCCCGGCCAAATGACTAGTTTCTTCAGCTCTCCATTATTCTTTCTGTATTTTTCCCCCCACAAATGAACAGATACATAGTTTTCTCTCCTGTCCACTTCTTTCTTATATGTGCTTTGCTTTTTGCTTGATTACATGCATATTGGATTTCATTTCATACAGCTCTTGCTCATTCTTTTTACATCCTGCATTCTTTTTTCATTGTAAGATATAGACACATAATTTTTTTTTTTTTAATGTTTTATTTATTTCTAGGAGAGAGAGAGAGAGACAGCATGAACAGGGGAGGGTCAGAGAGAGAGGGAGTCACAGACTGAAACAGGCTCCAGGCTCTGAGGTAGCTGTCAGCCCCAAGCCCGATGCAGGCCTCAAACCCACGAACCGTGAGATCATGACCTGAGCCAAAGTCGGATGCTTAACCAACTGAGCCACCCAGGCGCTCCGATATACAGACATAATACAGTTTACCATTTTAACTTTTTTTTTTTAATGTTTTATTTATTTCTGAGAGAGAGAGAGAGAGAGACAGCGTGAGCAGGGGAGGGTCAGAGAGAGAAAGAGGAGATACAGAATCTGAAACAGGCTCCAGGCTCTGAGGTAGCTGTCAGCCCCAAGCCCGATGCAGGCCTCAAACCCACGAACCGTGAGATCATGACCTGAGCCAAAGTCGGATGCTTAACCAACTGAGCCACCCAGGCACCCCTTAACTTTTTTTTTTTTTTAGTTTATTGTCAAGTTGGTTTCCATATAACACCCAGTGCACATCCCCACAAGTGCCCTCCTCCATGCCCATCACCCTCCCTCCCCCCCACACCCACCAGTCCTCAGTTTGTTCTCAGCATTCAAGTGTCTCTCATGGTTTGCCTCTCTCCCTCTCCCCCACTATTGACCCCCTTCTTCTCCCCTGCAATCCTCCGTTAAGTTCCTCCTAATCCTCCTATATGTGCAGACATATGGTATTTGTCCTTCTCTGCCTGACTTATTTCACTCAGCATAACACCTTCAAGTTCTATCCATGTTGCTACACATGGCCAGATTTCATTCTTTCTCATTGCCATGTAGTATTCCATCGTATAGATAAACCACATCTTTTAACTTTTTTTTTAAGTTTATTTATTTTGAGAAAGACAGAGACAGCGTGAACAGGGAGGGGCAGAGAGAGAGAACCCCAGGCAGGCTCCGCACTGCCAGTGCAGAACCAGATGCGGGGCTCAAACATGCAAAACCGTGAGCTCATGACCTGAGCCGAAATCAAGAATCAGATGCTCAAACGACAGAGCCACCCTGGTGCTCCCTCCCCCCCGCCCAAAAAAAACTCAGTTAAGGGGCACCTGGGTGGCTCATTTGGTCGAGAGTCCAATTCTTGATTTAGGCTCAGGTCATGATCCTGATCCCAGGGTTGAGGATTGAGCCTCATGACAGGCTCCTCACTGAGTTAGTGTGGAGCCTGCTTAAGATTCTCTATCTCCTTCTATCTAAGGAAAAAAAAAAAGTGATGACTGTTTTAACCGGTTTTGTGTCCAGTCTGGTGACATTGGGCAGATCTGCATTGTTGTGTGGCCACCATCCTCTGACCTTCCAGCTTCTAAAAACGGAGACCCTGCCTCCATTGAGGCCAGCCTTCTGGCCCCCACTGGCCTCTCTGTCTTGGGGCCTGACCACTCCAGCGACCTGCAGTGACAGTATTTGTCGTTTTAGGTCTGGCTTTTTCTGCATTCCCTTTGGCATTTACTTTAAGAATCTTAAAACACAGAAATAGAAGATAGTCATGTATCAATTGAAACGAAGCTCTTTTGACTTGTTGAACCTATTGCTGTGAGTTTGCTTTTTAAATCCCTGGAATACATCCCCAAGTACCCTTGAGAAGCATGGGGTTTTGTTTCTGTGTGTTTGTAACGCCTGTAAATGTCTAATATTGCACGTGATTATGCAACCTGTGTTTCTCCACCGTGGATTTGAGATCTGCTGCTATTCATTAGAGCTAATTCAGAGCACTCCAGGTAGGAATCCTTCAACTGGATTCGTCACGTTTTATGTTTCTGTTCTGCTGACGGATATTCGATCCGTTTTCCTGTGTTTTCTCTATCCCAGTGAGTATCCCTGTGCAGGTAGCAGATTCCCAGATGGAACCCTACCAGGGTGTATTCAAGAAGATGCCCCAGTTGGGGCACCTGGGTGGCTCAGTTAAGCATCCGACTGTGGCTCTGGTCATGATCTCACACTTTGTGAGTTCAAGCCCCACGTGGGGCTCTTTGCCGACAGCTCAGAGCCTGGAGCCTACTTCGGATTCTGTGTCTCTTTCTGTCTCTCAAAGATGAATAAACGTTAAAAAAAAAATTTAAAAAGAATGGCAGAACGCTCCCCAAAGCGGTTCTCCGAAGCCCTGCTTCCCCTGATGGGGTGTGAGGGAGCTCCTGCCCCGCCCCGTGCCCATGCCCCACTCCTTGGCATCACTGGGCTTTGGGATTTTCCTGGCCTCCTGCTCGTGTCTTGTCTGTTCGCAGTGAGCATTGTCTGATGTGTTTATTGCCAGGCTCTCCTCTTGTCTGTGATCAGCTCTGCAGATCCCTAACTCTTCTGTTGGGCCGTGGCTTTGGGTGGTGGGTTGGGTGGGGAGAGGCTGGGCTGCCGCCTGGAGTCAGGGGACCCTCCCGTCACATGTCCTGAAGCAGCCGCTTTTCTCCTCCTGGTTTCTGCTGTGTTCATCGTTATTTAAGGTTGGCGTCGTGAGCTTTGCGTGCGCCTCTGCTGCCCCGGCACACCCGGAGCTTCCATCCAAACCTGCCACTTGTCCTGGACCCCTTCCGGACAAGCCAGCTGTCAGAGCCGGCTGCTGTGTGTGCAGAGTACAGCCAAATGGG